CTTGCAGCTGACTTTTTCCTTCTTTTAAAAACCAAACTGAAGTTTCATAGAGGATTGCCGTAATCTTCGAATTTTGTCACAGACATCAATAGTGCTTATCTCCCCTTCATTCTTTCCTTCCCGGGCATACACCCTGCCTCCTGTTATGTGCTCCCTAGCTTCATGGGTCATTAAGAGAACCAAGGACAATGGCTAAGTCTCAGCATCATTTAAGGACAAAGCCGCGCCATTGATCTTTATCAGACTTTCTTAATGAACTAACATCTCTTTGATACGAATGTTCTCAGTGCTGGCGGAAGGTGCCGTGCGTTTTATCTGATTTGGAGCGAGTCCTTCCCATCCTTTGTAGCTTCTGAAATTCTTTATCTTCCTCCGCTCACGCTTCCTCCATGCAAAAATGGAGTCTGCTGCGCCACAAGGACCTTATAATGAGCTCACATTGCTGGACACAAACAGGCAGTGGAACGGTGTGTTGCCCTGGCAGTGCGAGCCCACCTGGGAAACCCTATATTGACTAAACTCTGCATTTGTGGCACATTACTGAATCATTTTGTGTCTGCTTCAGATTGGTATATTAACGTCTTCCAATACTTAGGGGTCTCGTTGCAGTAAAATTAAAAGGCTGTAAATTAATTTTCGGACTGTTTTTTTTTTAACCTTGAAGGTGTGCATGAAAGAGCAATTTTCCTTGGGAAGAATTAATAAAATTGTCTGGCTGAATGAAGAAATGGGACTGAAAGTGGGACAGCCCCAGAATGCCTTTGGAAGTTAAACTCCAGAAAAATAGCTAACTGCACCATGAATCTGTCTTATATACAAAAAAGATTTGTAATTGGGTTTCACAGCTAGTCTTGGGGAATCAAGTGCTCCTGCCAAGGACAGTACAGCACAAAAACAAGAACCTTTTCCTCCATTGGCAAATTAAGGTACCGGTAGTCTACCATGGTTAATGGAACCGAAGTCCAGTTGTGAGAGTTAGGTTTACAACCTCTGATCATTAACGGTGCCAAACCCATACAGTCCCAAGCCCTACTGAGCACGAGATTAGTGTAGGTTTTCATACCATTAGTGTTAAAAAAATCAATGGTACAGAAAGGATGGTGGTGGAGAAAGTTGTACATTATGGGTTGTTGGCAATAAAGGAGAAAAATTTTATGATAATGGAATTGTTGCATAGCTACCAATGGCAAGTCAGTTAGCGCGAGCCACCTGGGTGTGTGACCAGTGGAGCAACCTCCTCAGACGTAAGTAGACCCTGAATACCAACAATCTTTTCAAGATTGTGTTATGGGAAATTTACTGTCACTGACTCAATCCATTATAAAGGGACATTGTTCATGACGCATCAAAAGGGGACGTTTGCTGGCTCCGTCCTACTGACCATCTAAATCTAAGGGCGCAGTCTTACCACTGACCCCCAATGTAAGGGGCATTCTTCCCTACTGATCACCAATTGTATGGAACATTCTTCCCACTGACCACCAATGTAAGGGACATTCTTCCCACTGACCCCCCAATGTAAGGGGGGCATTCTTCCTACTGATCACGCAATGTAAGGAACATTCTTCCCACTGACCACCAATGTGAGGGACATTCTTCCACTGATCACCAATGTAAGGAACATTCTTCCCACATGATCACCAATGTAAGGGCGCAGTCTTCCAACTGTACTACCAATGTAAGGGGCATTTTCTTTCCTACTGATCACCAGTGTAAAGAGCATTCTTCCCACTAACCACTCCAATGTGAGGTGCATTCTTACAACTGACTACCAATTTGAGAGGCATTTTTACCATTGACCACCAATCGTAAGGTACATTCTTCCCACTGACTGCCGATATCAGGATCAGAGTACTTTATTGATCTCAAAGGGAAAGTATTAAGTTCCTCCTCCCACTGACCATTTCATCTAAGGGAGCAGTCTTTCCCACTGCACTGACCCCCCAATGTAAGGGGAAAATTCTTACCAACTGATCATCAATGTAAGGAGCATTTCTTCCCATTTTTTCTTTATTAAAAAAGTCTCGCAAATCAATAAACATAAAAATTATACAGAATATATTAAAAAAATTGTTATATATTTACAGCAAATACGAAAATATAAACATAGCAATAATCTGCTTGTCAGACAAAAGCAAACGTCTCAGAAATGAACATGACATAATTGGGGAAATAAATCGTACTACCACTCACATCACTACACCAGACATCAAACCTGTGAGGTCAAGAAACCACCCCGCCCCCCTTATGCATGCAGCCCTTCTTCAAAAAGATCTTAATCAACAAAAATCTACGGGAGTGAAAAGAACAGTATAAGGAAAAGACCCCCTCACCCAGAGATGGACAGTTCACCAAAGGCAGGTCTGATATTCCTCCACGCCCTTCTCCAGGACCGCCCGAGGCTCCCTGCCCTTCTCAAGACCCCGAATCTTCCAACCTCACCCAGAATATCGTGCACCACCACCTCTACAGGGAGGACTTTCTTCCGGGGATATGGTAATCTGACACCGTATGCGTTCCATGTGAAGTAATGGACAACTATACTAACTAGAAAAAGTGTATCCAAATCAAAGTCCCAGTGAGCTGGGGAATGCCCCGTACACCCACTCTGCATAAACTCATGCGATAGAGAAAGGGGGATGCCCTCAGAACCCTCCCCACCCTTTTATACACCTCTATGTTAAAGGGACACAGGTTGAGCAGAAAAAGTGGTCCTAGACTCCACCTTACCAACACACTCTGCTCTAGGACCACAATCTCGATCATCCACAGGGCGGTGCTTCAGGTTCCCTCTCACATAGAGCCTTCCATGGAAAGCGAGCCAGCTCTTGATCCCTAAACTTCAAAGGGATTCTCTCCAAGTTAATTAAACGCAATCCCATTCCCTCATTACGGAGCCTGGGCAATCCTTTAAGGCCAGTGACACACTGAAAGCAGAAGCCAAATCCTCCTCCCCCAGAAGCTTCCTGGGAAGGGACCTGATATCCTCCACTGTCACCTGCCACTGCCGAAGTATTTTCAGACACGGGGCAACATAAGCCGGGAGCTTGCCATGTCGACTCTCAGACTTTTCACTGGGCCGCCATCTTCCAGCAATGCAGAAAAAAGGCCTAAACCAAGACTGAAAAAAGTACCCACCCATCCCGGCGGGGTCTCTGCTAACATATTACCAAGATTGTACTTTAAAAAGAGCAAAGAAAAGAAAACTATCGGGTTGAACCATTCCTAGGCCACCCTCCCCGCCTGGACAGGTAAGTTACATTGCGTTTGATCAGGTTCAGCCTGTTTTTCCCCATAACAGTTGGAAAAAAACAGCTGTAGACCCGTGCATAGAGAGATACTGGCCCAAGATACAGACGAAGCTGACATATAAAAAGATTGGGATCAGGTAAGTTTTGATCAAGTCAACCCTCTCTCTCAAGGAAAGCCTCCATCTCTTCCAGCTTGCTACTTTGGCATTGACATCTACCAACCTGCTTTCCCAGTTTCGATGACCATAGTCACCAGGACCAAATTTGATGCCCAAAATTTTAATTTCCTGCTGGGGCTCTGGGAAGGCATCCGGAAGTTCGAAGCTTTCACCCTCCTCACCCATCCAGAAAACTTCACTCTTTTCATGGTTGACTTTAGAGCCAGAAAGCCTCCGTGTACTGCTCTATCACAGAGACCACCCTCCTGCGCGCCTCCTCAGTCCCCCCCCCAATGAGAGATAATAACAGACACATCATCAGCATAGGCAACGACCTTCAAAGGCGGCACACCAGCAATGCCCAGAGGCACCCAGCACAACGATGCGCCCTCTAGCCTTCTTACAAAGGGGTCGATTGCGAAAGCATATAGCAGGGGGCTCAAAGGACATCCCTGGCGCACACCACCAGAGCTGACCTCAAAAGGCCGCCCGGCAACCCAACCCAACCATTAACAAGTGGGAAGCTCTCAGCCCCTTTATATAATGTCTTCAGCCAATCTATAAACCTCCCCTGCAGGCCGTATCTACCAAGCAGCAACCACAGATATTCATGATTCACTCGATCAAAAGCTTTCGCCTGATCCAATGCCAGCAAGTACTTTCTCCATCCAGCAGCCTGCATCGTTCCAAAAGCCTCCCGGATAGCCAAAACTGCTGAAAAGGTACTTCTACCTTGGACCGAACAGTGCTGATGGCTGGACAACAAATCGCCTGCTACTGACGACAAGCGCCAAAAAAAAAAGAATCTTTGCCAAGATCTTTCTATCAACATTGAGAAGACTGATGGGGCGGCCAGTTCTCAATCATTGAGGGGTCTTTACCTTTTGACAGAAGAATCACAGCGGATTGCCTCATGGAGGGAGGGAGCGAACCCTCTTCTAGACAGCTGTTAAAAACCTCCGCTAAAAAGGGAGCCAGAATGGACTTAAAACACTTGTAAAATTCAGCTGTCAATCCATCTGGCCCAGAATATGGCGATTTTTTGGTAGCCAGCTTGTCTATAGCCCTGAACTACCTCATCCCGCTGAAATTGGTTCTGTCAAATTCATCAAAAGCAATGCACCATTTCCCCAATCCTGGAGTAGAATCCAGAAAGCTTTCCATCCTGTCCCGGCTAAGGTCCTTTTCTTCCCAGGAGGTCTGCATAATACGACCCAAAGATCTCCAAGATCCCTGATCTGGACTTTATCAGGGAACCCGTACTGTCTTTCAGGCCAATGACCGTCTTAACTGCTATGCCTTGCTTACAGTTCTGGTAAGGATCAGGTGAGTGATATTTCCCATAATCCCTCTCCAGAACCAAGGAGGCATGCCGGTCGTATTGACACTTTTCCTAAGAATGAAGCTTCACTTCAGAGATCTCCCCTGGATCCCCTCCATACGAGACAAGACGATCAAGCTTCCTCCGCAAATGCTGGTAGGGCAATATACATACCAAGCTGCTTCTTCTTACTTATTTATGGCCTTGAAAAGTCCAGTCGCCCCTTTGTTTCACAAGCTCCCACCACTCTGACTTACTGCTGCAAAAGTCCAGAATAGAAACCTGTGCCTGAAAAAAACTCCTCAAAGGATTGTCTCACCTCTACATCTTCCAGGAGAGCCGAATTCAGTTTCCAGGACACCCCTTCCCCTGGGTGGAGTGTCCGAGGCATTCAGAGTCACAGACAGCATACAGTGGTCAGAGAACTCCACCGCCTTCAACTCAGGAGTCGAGAAAGCAGAGTTCTCCTTTAAAAAAAAAAAAACCTGTCTATCCTGCTCTGACTATTCCCTCTCTGAAATGTGAACCCCCGTGCTGCCAGGGCAGTGCTTAATGTGCACATCTACCAGGTCTGCCTGTCTAACCAAATCTCTGAGAAAAAACGCTATCATAACCCAGCCTGTCTATGGGAGCCTCTCCTGTCTTCAGGCCTAATTATGGTGTTAAAGTCACCTCCAAAGACAACCTGCTGGGACGTAAAAAGGAAGGGCTTGATCTTTGTGAGGAGGCATTTCCTGCCCCATTTTGACTGCGGTCCATTAGATATTGATCCAGGCGCAGGTCCTGCCCCCTAACAGAGACGTCTAAGACCATGCATCTCCCCATTTCTACCTCAATTACCCGCCGGCACGTTACCATTATCGGTTTTAAAAAGGACCGCAACTCCGCTGCAAGGTTCAGCCGCAAGAGACCAAAAGGAGGGACCACATCTCCACTCCCTTTTTGCTAGATAGACATCGGCTAATGTATTGACCCAGGTCTCTGCAAAAAATAAATCTCAGCATCAAAACTCGCTGAGCAAAAATAAGGCCGTATCACGAGCTCTTGCAGATTTAATGCTGGCGACATTAATGGTCGCCACCTTTAACAGAGTGGGAACTGCCATCAGGATGATTGGGGTAGTCGTTTCTTAACCTCTACCACACTCTCATCACCCGAAACAGCTCTCTTCAGAGTATGTGGACTCCCCCTCATCCATAGATGATAGAGAAATGGATATATCAGATACCATCTCATCACCCTGACAAAACTGAAAAAGTAATTGCCAAGAGGGACCCCTCCTGGGTCTGATTCTGAGGAAGAGAGGACAGCTCTTCTCATCCTCCTCTTCTTTCTCTTCTCCTTCACCCTCTCCCACCCTTCATCAGCCGAATCCCCCCCAGCAGGAGGTGAGACATGGACATGGATACCCCTCCCTGAGCCTCATCGGCTCTACCCCCATCCGGCACCCCCACAACCTCCTGACCACGTTTGCGCTGATGGGGGACAGGTACCGGAGGTGGAGTAGGCCGAGAGGGAAGATCCGCTAACCCCCCCCCCAGCAGCTTCCGCCAGTCTGGAGGATCTACGTACTGTAGGATTAGGGACAGGAGGGACAGACTTAGGGGTGACATTACTGGGGAAACACAATCTGACACAACAGACACAGGAGGTACAACTACAGTTTCCTCCCTAGCATCAGCTGCCATCTCATCCTCTTTATCCAGCCTCTGCAGCTCAGCCTCCAGTCCTGGCAGGTTGTGTAGTGCCTCTGGGCACAGACTGTATGGATGACCCAGCTGCTGGCACAAATTACACCGAATTCTCGGTGCATTCTTTGGCCAAATGGCCAAAATCCTGGCACAGTGAGCACTTCTTGATGGTGCAGGACGATGCAAAATGGCCTTTCTCTCCGCATTTGTTACTAAACTTTAGGCTGACCTTGATAGAAAATGGTCAGCCTATCCCTCCCCAGAAAAGCTGAGCAGGGAAGATGCTGAACCACATTGCCCAGCACCCTCAATTGCACTGACACTGTCCAGGCTCCTGTCCATATCCTATGCTCATCCAGGACCTTCGCAGTGGGGTGAGGACCTCACCATGTTGGCGTAGCCAAACTACTAAATCAGCCTCTCAGGTATGGATTCATTCCGGACCAGGATTGTCACCGATTTTATCAAAGGCTGTCTGGAAACCACCTTTGCCACCAAACCTTTCCACTGCTGAAGGCTCCTGCACCTCCAATATCTCTCCCAAAACAGGTCCAGGCCTTCAGGTTTTACAAACGACAAATCGTATTCATAGCTGCCGACTGGACAGATCAATGCAAACACATTACAGGCTTTAAACCCCCATCTCTAGAATCAACTCCGCCACCCTCCCCCTTACTGGTGGGTTCCCTTCCCCCTCCAACTATACAACATTTCCTTCTCCTCCTGACCCCACCAACCATCCCACCACCAAACCTCCCCAAATTGTGACCATTAACATTCCCCAACACTACCACCCACCCCCCTTGGTGCGACTCCCCAAAACAGAGGCATAGCTCCCCCCAATCCTCCCAGCAGCAGAAAACATTTGTGTGTCTGGGAGCATCTGGTGTAACTCTCCCTTCACCTCCACCCACCACCAACACATCCATTGCTTTACCAGTCTCAACAGTCATAGACTTCACAGCAATGTCCGCACTCACTGCTGCAACCATAGAAGCTCCAGCAGTCATCTCTTCATCCAAGAAAGGACACTCAGCCCAGGACTGGATTGGATTCTCAGACACAGCAACAAAGTGAGACATCCATGTGTGGTGTTTGCTCTCCATGTTGTGCAGTGTGCTGCTCCCCTCCCCCACCAGCATCAATCAGGTCTGGAGCACCTGGGAGCTCAGGTGAAACAGTCTCTCTGCAGGGGCAGCCATCTTGCCTGTAGAGGGACTACTGGTCTCAGCAGGAACAGCAGCAGTAACTTCCATCCATGGGGTGCTTGGTGCAGGTTCACCACATTCCCCTGATGGTATGGAGACCTCTCTGCCAGGGATTTTCCTCCAGGTTGGCTGAGGATTCCTCCACAGCAGGTTGCTTGCAGAGCTCCTCATCCACAGTACTGACCACAGCAGGTGGGGCAGACATGCTGGAAGCAGCCATGTTGGGTATACTGGGATCTCTCCACCAGTCTTGGCTTTGCTGCTCTGTACCTCCTCTGTCCATCCTCAGGGACTTCTGCAGGGTCATCAGTGAAGGCAAACTTGTCTGCTCTCAGGGGTGACTCCATCTGCTGGATGAAACTCAAGGTTCCATACTCACCCTCAACCCCCTGGCTGGTTGCCACTGGTGATTCCACAGCCTGACATGGGGGGAGAGACGCTGATGTAGATGGAGCCGGGTCATCCATTACCTGAGGCTGCTGATCCACAGAGCTCACTGATGTCTGGCTGGCAAATCTCCTCTCATTATCAAACTTTTCTTTAAATGCTCCACTTCTAGCTTTCAACTTTTCTAATAATAAAGATTGTCTCTTTACTTTCTCCTCCATGTGCTGGAGCGCTGGCTTCATGCCCAATCTGTTCTTGCTCCAGGCCTGGCAGTATTTGGCTCTGAAGGATTTGTGTTCAGATTTTAACACAATAAGTTTCTCCTCAGCTCTTCCAATAGTCACCAATCTATCAGTAATCTTCTGCCTGAAGACATTGACATCCTCACCAGGGCTGGGACCCACAGTCAGGTCCTCCACCTCCTCCTCTTCACTAGGCCCGGTCTCATCAGGGGAATCCCTCCCAGGGCCTCCCCCTGGATCAGGCATGGTTCCTGGGCCAAGCTAGCAGGCAAGGCCCAGGCTTGAAAACGCTGGTTCTCAGGGAGAGCTCCTTCAGTGTGTCCTCCTCCTTCTCCCACTAACCACCAATGTAAGAAGCATTCTTCCCACTGACTACCAATGTGTGGGGGCATTCTTCCTGCTGACCACCAATATAAGAAGCATTCTTCCCACCAGGGCCGTGGATGAGGGGGAACCAGCAGTCCTCCTGTACGGGGCCCAGGCCAGCAGGGGGGCCCAGGCAGCTGGTGAAATGGGTGTGGGCAGGGAGGATGATCGGCACAGCTAGGGGGAAATTACTGGAACTGATCCCCAGTATGGCTCTCTCTGCAGCAGTTGAAAGCTGGCTTCTTCTCCTCTCCCTGCCACTGGCTTTCAGCTGATGCAGAGAGAGCCATACAGGGGATCGATTCCAGTAATTACCCCCCCCGCAGCACCCAGCACCCTCCCTGTGCATCATACATTTCCCCCTACTGCCCAGGCCCCCCTGTGTGCCCCCACTTCTGCAGTGGTGCCATATTCCCTCCTCTCCTTCTCACGGGCAGCTGCAAGCACACAATAGGATCCTTCATGATGGAGAGTAGAGGAAGGGTCCGGTAAAATATGTCACATTTATCAGCCCCTTAATTCCCTGAATTAACACAGTTGATGATCGGTACTAATCACTCCATGTGTTCATTCATAACTGAAGCTTAGTAAACTGTGTACTTTTTTTTTTAGAGGGGGCCCTGTGAGGTTGGCTGTATGGGGCCCCGTGGTTTCTAACAGCAGCCCTGCTTGCCACTAACCACCAATGTAAGCAGCATTCTTCCCACTGACCACCAATGTAAAGAACCTTCTTCCCACTGACCTCCAATATAAGGAGCATTCTTCACATTAACCACCAATGTATGGGCTCTAAATATATAATGCATTAGGTGGGACATAAGGTACCACATCCAGAAATACACAAAATTCTTCTAAATAAAGATACTTTGAACTTTTGAGGTACCCATCCACTGTGGAATCAGAATAAGGGCTCATGTACACTGCAGCTGATAAACTCACATTTAGGAGCTGTTCACCGTTTTTTTCAGCAGCCCCTGAACTCTCCCTAATGTTTTCCTATGTGTCCATGTACAAATCATCGTTTACAGGCAGTTGAGTTTACAGTTGTTTTTTTGAACGCAGAAAACTTTGCGTTTAGCAGTTGATTTTATCAGCGTTTCAGACGCAAAACGCTTGTAAACGCTTGTAAACACAGCAAATCACGTTTATAAGTATTTGCGTTTGAATTTTTTTTTAACTCTTCCAGTTCCCGATGCTGTCCAGAGCCTTTTATCATCATGAAAAATGCATGCAAAGCATTTTCAAGGTACTCAAATGGACAAAACACTGAAACACAGGATGTTCCTACCAAGCTTGTCACACATTCTAATGACCAATTCACACCTCAGACCTCTCCCACCCTTGGAAACAAAAGATATGTTAATGAAAATTCACACCTCAAATTCCTCATGAAGACCCCCTGCCAGGTGGGCTTAATGACTTCTCCACCAGACACCTTTCCCACCCTTGGAAACAAAAGAAATGTTAATGAGCAACTCACACCTAATCTAATCTCAACACATACTGCTGTCTCTGCTTCTACTCTCTGTATTTCTCAGTCTGAAATAATTAATAATTTAAAACTTTCAGTGCATTCTGGGCATTTGGGATGTTCTCCTGTGCTTATCTTTAAAAAATGCTTCTAACGCAAACCCACATAAACACGGTATGCAAACGCTGTTAAACAGACGTTTTTTTAACCTATGTTTTCCAGCAGTCAGTTTCCATCGTTCAGAAGTAGCCTGTGTACATGGAGCCTAAAGATTTTGAAAAAGAATAACACAGTAGAATTAGGAAAGCTGGAATAGAGATAGGTGGTCATAGGGTTATGGAAATCTAATAAAAGGAGGTGTAATGTTATCATGTGATGAACATTGTTTTTATGATAATGAACCATAGAAGAGTTTTAATTAGGTTTTTTAAGGGTGGTACCTCAAAAGACCAGATTATCTTTACTTTGGATGCCAGTGAAAGGGGGCAATCGCCCCACTAACCATCAATGTAAGGGGCAGACATCCTCCCAATGACTACCAATGTGAGGGGCAATCGTCCCACTAACCATCAATGTAAGGAGCATCCTTCTGAATGACTACCAATGTGAGGGGCAATCGTCCCACTAACCACCAATGTAAGAAGCATTCTTCCCAACGACTACCAATGTGAGGGGCAATCGTCCCACTAACCACCAATGTAAGGGTCAGCCATCCTCCCAATGACTACCAATGTGAGGGGCAATCGTCCCACTAACCACGAATGTAAGGGTCAGCCATCCTCCCAATGACTACCAATGTGAGGGGCAATCGTCCCACTAACCATCAATGTAAGGGGCAGCCATCCTCCTAATGACTTCCAATGTGAGGGGCAATCGTCCCACTAACCACCAATGTAAGGGGCAGACATCCTCCCAATGACTACCAGTGTGAGGGGCAATCGTCCCACTAACCATCAATGTAAGGGGCAGACATCCCCCCAATGACTACCAATGTGAGGGGCAATCGTCCCACTAACCACCAATGTAAGGGGCAGACATCCTCCCAATGACTACCAATGTGAGGGGCAATCATCCCACTAACCACCAATGTAAGGCGCATCCTTCCCAATGGCTACCAAGTGAGGGGCAATCGTCCCACTAACCATCAATGTAAGGAGCATCCTTCCCAATGGCTACCAATGTGAGGGGCAATCGTCCCACTAACCACCAATGTACAGTCAGGTCCATAAATATTGGGACATTGACACAATTCTAACATTTTTGGCTCTATACACCACCGCAATGGATTTGAAATGAAACGAACAAGATGTGCTTTAACTGCAGACTGTCAGCTTTAATTTGAGGGTATTTACATCTAAATAAGGTGAACGGTGTAGGAATTACAACAGTTTGCATATGTGCCTCCCACTTATTAAGGGACCAAAAGTAATGGGACAGAATAATAATCATAAATCAAACTTTCACTTTTTAATACTTGGTTGCAAATCCTTTGGAGTCAATTACAGCCTGAAGTCTGGAACGCATAGACATCACCAGACTCTGGGTTTCATCCCCTGGTGATGCTCTGCCAGGCCCCTACTGCAACTGTCTTCAGTTCCTGCTTGTTCTTGGGGCATTTTCCCTTCAGTTTTGTCTTCAGCAAGTGAAATGCATGCTCAATCGGATTCAGGTCAGGTGATTGACTTGGCCATTGCAGAACATTCCACTTCTTTCCCTTAAAAAACTCTTTGGTTGCTTTTGCAGTATGCTTTGGGTCATTGTCCATCTGCACTGTGAAGCGTCCAATGAGTAGTGAAGCATTTGGCTGAATATGAGCAGATAATATTCCCGAAACACTTCACAATTCATCCTGCTGCTTTTGTCAGCAGTCACATCATCAATAAATACAAGAGAAGCAGTTCCATTGGCAGCCATACATGCCTACGCCATGACACTACCACCACCATGCTTCACTGATGAGGTGGTATGCTTAGGATCATGAGCAGTTCCTTTCCTTCTCCATACTCTTCTCTTCCCATCACTCTGGTACAAGTTGATCTCGGTCTCATCTGTCCATAGGATGTTGTTCCAGAACTGTGAAGGCTTTTTTAGATGTCGTTTGGCAAACTCTAATCTGGCCTTCTTGTTTTTGAGGCTCACCAATGGTTTATATCTTGTGGTGAACCCTCTGTATTCACTCTGGTGAAGTCTTCTCTTGATTGGTGACTTTGACACACATACACCTACCTCCTGGAGAGTGTTCTTGATCTGGCCAACTGTTGTGAAGGGTGTTTTCTTCACCAGGGAAAGAATTCTTCGGTCATCCACCACAGTTGTTTTCCGTGGTCTTCCGGGTCTTTTGGTGTTGCTGAGCTCACCGGTGCGTTCCTTCTTTTTAAGAATGTTCCAAACAGTTGTTTTGGCCACGCCTAATGTTTTTGCTATCTCTCTGATGGGTTTGTTTTGTTTTTTCAGCCTAATGATGGCTTGCCTCACTGATAGTGACAGCTCTTTGGATCTCATCTTGAGAGTTTACAGCAACAGATTCCAAATGCAAATAGCACACTTGAAATTAACTCTGGACCTTTTATCTGCTCATTGTAATTGGGATAATGAGGGAATAACACACACCTGACCATGGAACAGCTGAGAATCCAATTGTCCAATTACTTTTGGTCTCTTAACAAGTGGGAGGCACATATGCAAACTGTTGTAATTCCTACACCGTTCACCTGATTTGGATGTAAATACCCTCAAATTAAAGCTGACAGTCTGCAGTTAAAGCACATCTTGTTCGTTTCATTTCAAATCCATTGTGGTGGTGTATAGAGCCAAAAATGTTAGAATTGTGTCGATGTCCCAATATTTATGGACCTGACTGTAAGTAGCATCCTTCCCAATGACTACCAATGTGAGGGGCAATCGTCCCACTAACCACCAATGTAAGTAGCATCCTTCCCAATGACTACCAATGTGAGGGGCAATCGTCCCACTAACCACCAATGTAAGGGGCAGACATCCTCCCAATGACTACCAATGTGAGGGGCAATCGTCCCACTAACCATCAATGTAAGGGCAGACATCCTCCCAATGACTACCAATGTGAGGGGCAATCATTCCACTAACCACCAATGTAAGGAGCATCCTTCCCAATGGCTACCAAGTGAGGGGCAATCGTCCCACTAACCATCAATGTAAGGAGCATCCTTCCCAATGGCTACCAATGTGAGGGGCAATCGTCCCACTAACCACCAATGTAAGTAGCATCCTTCCCAATGACTACCAATGTGAGGGGCAATCGTCCCACTAACCACCAATGTAAGTAGCATCCTTCCCAATGACTACCAATGTGAGGGGCAATCGTCCCACTAACCACCAATGTAAGGAGCATTCTTCCCAATGACTACCAATGTGAGGGGCAATCGTCCCACTAACCATCAATGTAAGGGTCAGCCATTCTCCCAATGGCTACCAATGTAAGGGGCAATCGTTCCACTAACCACCAATGTAAGGAGCATTCTTCCCAAAGACTACCAATGTGAGGGGCAATCGTCCCACTAACCATCAATGTAAGGGGCAGACATCCTCCAAATGACTTCCAATGTAAGGGGCATTGTGCAAAATGAGTGGAATCATCAGGGACATCAATTGACTCTATTGCAGGAAAATGTAGATATCTTGCAGTTGTTGTCACCAGTATATAGTGTATGATCAAAGTGTATGGTAACTATGCCAGTGACATCAGGATGGTTGCTTTTTTACACTGCTGGGCCTTAAAAATGGTATGCGTTTTACAAAAACGCATATTTAACACGTTTTCAATGCACTTTTGATGCATTTTTTCAAGAGTTGGTTGTGGCCAGCTCAGTGGATTGCTGTAGGAAAGTCCTGAATTATTTCTCGGATACACAGAATATAACTGGATACTAACATTTATAGGTAAAGTTGATCCAGGAATATCTGATTGCTTCTCAGGAAGGAAATTGTTTCCCTGCAGGAGCAAATTGAATCATGCTTTGTGTGTTTTTTTTTTGCCTTCCTCTGGATCAACTGTGGGTGTAGGATTATAACTTTTTTTTTTATGGTTAAACTGGATGGAGTTTTGTTTTTTTTCAGCCAGACTAACTATGTAACTATGTAATTTTTAGATTTGTATTGCATTTTTGACGTATTTCCAATCGCGATTAATAGGAGGTGCATTTTTCGGTGTGCTTTTGAACAGGACACCAAAGATGACGCATGCAGGATTTTTGCATTTTTACAGTGTACTGATGTGAAGAGTTCCATAGGACTTAAAGGGAAATATTTTTATGACGTTTT